GATATAAACGTTCCGTGGCCCTCATAGCATACTCATGAGTCATCACCCAACAACTCCATTACTCAAGCAAAGGTTTGTATAGCCAGCTCCATCTAGGCAACCATGTTAGAGGGTGTAATCTGGTTGCTAATCCTGAAGCTTGGGGATGCCCTGGCAAATGAAGCAGCTGTTCTAGGGAGGTCGTTTCTCGTCGAAGCATCTGCTCTGCAAGGCCTGTTTGGTGAGATACGGAAAATGAAGGAGGAGCTGGAGAGCATGCAGGCCTTCTTCCGAACTGTCGAGCGGTTCAAGGATGCAGACGAGACAACGGTTGCATTCGTGAAGCAGATCAGGGGCCTTGCCTTTAACATCGAGGATGTTATTGACGAGTTCACCTTCAAGCTGGGGGAGGACCATGAGGGGATGTTTCTGCTTAAAGCAATTAGGAGGGTCAGACAGATCAAGACATGGTACCGGCTAGCCAACAATTTGCGTGATATCAAAGCCAACCTCAAGAGTGCTGCAGAGAGAAGGCGCAGGTATGACCTCAAGGGTGTTGAGAGGGATGCAAAACTGACAAGAATAGGCAGCTTAAGCATTAGACCTGCAGAGTCTGTACATTTTAAAAGGGCAGATGATCTTGTGGGGATTGCGGAGAACAGAGACTTGCTGAAGAAATGGATGAAAGATGAGGAGCAGCGACACATGATCATCACTGTTTGGGGCATGGGAGGTGTTGGTAAGACAACACTTGTTGCGCATGTCTACAACGCCATCAAGACTGATTTTGACACCTGTGCTTGGATCACCGTGTCTCATAGCTATGAGGCTAATGATCTGCTAAGACAGATTGTTGAAGAGTTCCGGAAGAATGACAGGAAGAAGGAATTTCCGAAGGATGTTGATGTCACAGATTACAGAAGCCTAGTGGAGACAATCCGCCGTTACCTAGAGAAGAAAAGGTATGTTCTTGTCCTAGATGATGTTTGGAGTGTGAATGTTTGGTTTGACAGCAAAGATGCATTTTTTGGTGGCAAACTTGGTCGGATAATTTTCACATCAAGGATATATGAGGTCGCACTGCTTGCTTCTGAAGCCCAGATGATTAACCTGCAACCCTTGCAAAATCACTATGCATGGGATCTGTTCTGTAAAGAGGCATTTTGGAAGAATGAAAACAGAGACTGTCCACCAGAATTGCAATATTGGGCAAACAAGTTTGTGGAGAAATGCAATGGCTTGCCGATCGCTATTGTGTGCATTGGGCGTCTCCTGTCATTCAAGAGCGCAACTTTTCTGGAGTGGGAGAATGTATACAAAACTCTTGAGCTTCAATTTACAAACAATTGCATCCTGGATATGAACATAATCCTGAAGGTTAGTTTGGAAGACTTGCCACACAACATGAAGAACTGCTTTCTTTACTGCTGCATGTTCCCAGAGAATCATGTGATGCAAAGGAAGTGGCTGGTACGGCTTTGGGTCGCAGAAGGATTTATTGAGGCTAGTGAGCATAAAACACTGGAGGAGATCGCAGAGGATTACCTGACCGAACTCATCAATCGGTGTCTGCTGGTGGAGGTTAAGAGGAATGAATCAGGATATGTTGATGATTTCCAGATGCATGACATCCTTCGTGTGTTGGCCCTCTCCAAGGCACGCGAAGAGAATTTTTGCATAGTCCTCGATTACTCAAGGACTAATCTTATTGGGAAAGCACGCCGTTTATCAATCCAAAGAGGGGATATTGCACACCTTGCAGAGTCTGTGCCACATCTCCGCTCCTTGCTTATTTTCCAGAATTCGCTGACTTTTGGCTCACTCCGTTCATTCTCAAGGTCTGTTCAGTTAATGTCTGTCTTGAACCTGCAAGATAGTTCAATTGAGTCTCTGCCAAATGAGGTGTTTGACTTGTTCAACCTGCGTTATCTGGGCCTTAGACGGACTAAAATTGCTAATATCTCACGGCTGATTGGAAGGCTACAGAATCTGCTTGTGTTGGATGCTTGGAAAAGCCAAATCACCAACCTTCCAGTGGAAATCACAAGGCTCACTAAGTTGACCCATCTTATTGTCACCGTGAAGCCACAGATACCGGCTATGCAGTTCGTTCCTTCTATTGGCGTGCCAGCACCTATTGGCATGTGGTCTTTGGCAAGCCTGCAGACATTATTGCTGGTGGAATCCAGCTCTGAAATGGTCCGTTACCTTGGAGCTCTGGTTCGGTTGAGATCATTCCGCATCAGTAGAGTCCAAGGTCGCCATTGTGAAAAGCTCTTCATGGCCATCACCAATATGGTCCATCTCACCCGGCTCGGGATCCATGCGGATGATGACCAGGAGGTTCTGCAGCTCGACGCACTCAACCCACCTCCGCTACTCCAGAAGCTTTTCCTGCTAGGGACGTTAGAGAAAGAGTCACTGCCCCGGTTCTTCTTATCGATCAGCAAACTGAAAAGCCTCACCATCCTACGGCTCGTCTGGTCAAAGCTCGAGGAGGACATGTTCTGCTACCTCGAGGAGCTGCAGCAGCTGGTGAAGCTTCAGCTTTATGATGCATTTGATGGCAACAGGATGCACTTCCGAGCAACGTCGTTTCAGAAGCTTCGGGTGCTGAAGATCTGGGGAGCTCCACGTCTCAGCCAGATGACGATAAGAAGTGGGGCGATGCCCAGCTTGGTTGATCTGAAGCTCCTGCTCTGTCCGGAGTTGAAGTCGTTGCCGTGCGGGATCGAACACGTGACCACGCTTGAAGAGCTGACCTTGGATTCTACAGCGGAAGAGCTTGTGGACAGGGTTCGCCGGAAGAAAGAGGACAACATATCTCATGTTCAGAGAGTTTACGTCGGTTTCGTCAGGAACCGCGAGCTCGCTGCAGAGAGGATTCAGTAGTAGATGCAGCTCCATCTAGGCCAGTTATTGTTTTTTCTCTACTCTAAGTCAGCTGATGTAACTTGAATCCTTCTGTTTCTATCCACACCGTGGCCTTATTTTTGTGCACTTTGAAGTCTTCTTGTATCAATGTAACGTGTTGTGCTGTCATACATATGATTGAACCAAAGTTATATCATTCTCAATCCTAGGCTTCCTTCTCTTACAGACTGTTCCTCTTTCGTATTTTAGTCTTAGCAAGATAATCAGTTGTCATTCATGTGGGATAAATGGCTTATTCAATCATCTCAGCAGAACTGTGCTATATCATAACAGGAAATAGCCCTCAGCAAAAAAAAAAGGAAATAGAAATGCTATTTGCGATGTGTATGCCCCTATTAGGAGTTTCTCTATGCATTTCCATTATTTAGATTCAGTAGAATGATTTCTTCCATAATTGTGTATGTTAAGGTGTTGTGCTGTTTTCGGTGGTTGAGCTCTACTCATCCTGAGAAAATTATTCTGTAACATAGTTCTTTAATCCAAAGTGTGAGGAACTTGGTCTGTCCCGTGGGAGCTTTCCTTTTTGAATACCTAGAATTATGTTGTTCTTCCCCCACTCCAACATGGTTTGCTTATGTCTGAACTTTTTCTTTAGAAGGGCGTCTAAGCAGTATGTAGATTCAAATGACATGTGGATTCATGGGCAGAAGTATATCACTGTAGTTTGGGCTTTAGAGGGAGATGCTCTGGTTGCCGTAGATTTGTGTATAACTTATTTCCCTACCAATATACACAACATGATTTTCTGCAACAATGTTGCTTCTGTCAACGTTGGTTCCCAATGCTGGATAACTACGGTTTGGAACAAGGCCAGACAGCACGAAGTTTAACTTGTAGCCTCAACCGCTGTCGGTGTTAATTATGAGAGATGTTAGCAGGCAATAGGTTATCCGAAACTGAAGATGCACCCAACTGCATACAGTTCCTTACATCTTTGAGCCATAGTAGAGCTGCTAGCCTATTGTTCGGACTGAATTTCACACCAACGTTGGGTATCTCATCATAGATCAGTGTTTGAGAAGCTAAAAAAAATCATGATCCTGGTTTAGTTGTACTAGCATTTAGCATGAGAAAAGGAAAATAGAAGAAGGATTCAACAGAGCTACCCTGCAAGTAACTTAGACACATAAAGCATATTTCAATAATCAAATTAGGTAGGCCTCCTGCCTGCCGCCCTGCCCCTCGTCTCTGCCATCTTATCTCGCTCTCCAGATCCACCAAGTTATTACCATCCTCTTGCTAGGTAAGGTTGTGCTGCTCTGGTCATCTACTGCTTGTATTTTTACTGGCTGGTTGGTTATATTGCCCGGAGTGATAATGATGGTCATAGTCTGCAGTTACAAGGATTTATTAAGGTCAATTTCTGCTGCTACTGCCTACTACCCCCTATGTTCCTTTCTGTACACATGGACAGTATATACTTTGTTAACAAACAGTCTGACTGACTGCTGATTTGCTTGACTTACAAAACCATGTTGCTAACATGCTGGATTGAGGATACGGTTGTTCGAATCTTTGGAATTTTTGAAAAGCCACTTAATACGCTATCAACTGTTGTTGCTCTAGTGCTATTGCACAGTCTACTAGGATGATTTTACATTACATTTTTCTGACATGGAGCAAAGAAAATAGCTCTGATAATAAACAAATGCTTCGTTGTGCAGAGGTATTTTTTTTAGTAATTCTTGGAATTTAGCATGATGCGTTCCTGCAAATTGTTGCTCGACGTATCTGAATAGTACTGATGCACTTCTAATTAGAGATGTTTTTCCTGATGCTGTATGAATCTATATTGTTCTGCTTCCTGATCGCATACTGTCAAGTATGTCCGTTTGCTGTTACTGGACTATGCTTTGCGGTGCAGTCTGAATTTTTGTCAGTAGGTTTACCTCAAGCATGAACTAATGTTTCCTGTACGTGTACAGTTTTTTAGAATGGAAAAACAATTACACTGATTGATTTTTCAAACTCTCTACAACTTGCTGTGGTGCTATTATCGCAGAACACCATGGTTCTGCTTTTATTTGATACAGTTTTAAAGCAACATAGCTCTGAGAACAATTACTAGCCGATACATAAATTTATTATTATGCAACACTGTACTGTATTTCTCCAGCTGAGGCTTCTCTTTCTGGTCCTTGCTCCCCTATAAACTTGAGGTATGCATCTCTGATTGCATGTATCTCCGCCGCTGCATTTCTCGTCAGTGCTCGGTCTCGGGGCTGTTGCTTTGAGCAAGATATGCCAAGTCTGAAGACTGAAACCAAACACTCCTGCATTCTAGTACTTGTAGTTTCATCTTGTTGTCCGCTGTGGAGCCACATCGTTGGGTCAGCTATTTCCAGAGTTCTATCTGGAACAGCATCGTCGGCAAACTTATGCAGATCCAATGAATCTCCAAACGTGCCTTCTGTTGGGCTCCTTCCCGTAAACATCTCAAGCAGCAATATGCCAAGGCTATAAATATCACCGGTTGTTGAGACCGTAGAGCCTTCTCCGTATTCTGCAATTATGCAAAACTTTGTGGCTAGCATGCCATCGAGTGAAAAGTAAAATATAAAATTAGAAGAGTTTAAGTTACCTGGAGCAACATAGCCTATGGAACCTCTAATTCCAGTTGAGCTATATGAAGTTTGCATCCCCTCACTTGTATTTTCTTGAAGGATCCTTGATATGCCAAAGTCTCCAACTCGTGCGCTCATGTCTTCAGCAAGAAGAATGTTGCTTGGCTTAAGATCGCAATGGATTACCAATGGCTGACAGTAGTTGTGCAGATATTCTACTGCGTCCACAATATCGACAGCAATGCCAAGCCTCTGGGCAAGGCTAAGCGTGTTGTTTGTAGTGGGCTCTTGAGATTTTGGATGAAGCCAACTATCCAAGTTACCATTGGGCATGAACTCAAAAACCAATGCCTTGAACTCTTGACCTTGGTGGTTGACACTCGAACAAGAAGTAACGATCTTGATGAGACAACGGTGTCGTATCCTTCTCATGGCCTCACATTCAGCCTCAAAACTCTTGGAATACCTAGATTGACCAAGGTTAAACACCTTGACAGCCAATGTTCTGTCTTCAGTGTCCAGAACACACTTATAAACCGCACCATAACTTCCTCTCCCAAGCAAGTTGACTTCTGAAAATCCATTAGTTCCTCTCAGTAATGCATGATAGGGAATTCTCTTGTAATGGTCATCATCAACTGAATTTTGTGCTGATGTCTTGTGGCTTGGTTTGAGCTTCTTGCGAAATATCCAAGCAAGAAGAATAACTGAAAGTGAGAACAAGATTGCTCCAGTTGTTGCTAAAGAAATCACAAGAGACTTCGGCGCATTTTTCTTGTTCTTGCTTATGGAGCATGGAGCCAAATGAAGTTGAGGTGTACCACCACACAAGTTGACATTCCCAGCCACTGCTAAGTAAGTGATGTTTCTGAAAACACCTTCATTTGGAACCCCACCTTGCAAATTATTGAAGGATACATCCAGTTTGGATAATGCTGTCAAATTCTCTAGAACTACTGGGATTGACCCTGACAAATTGTTGTGCGCTAGGTACAGTCCCTGCAGGTTGCCAATGCTACCAAGGGCCTCAGGAATATTACCAGAGAACTTATTCATGGTCAGGTTCAGTATACGGAGCCCCTTTATATCTGCCAGTGACGGAGGTATGCTTCCCTCTAGCGAATTGTTGTCTAAGAATAGCCATTCCAACACTACGCAATTCTGTATACTGTCAGGTATCTTGCCAGACAACTGATTTCCTGATAGAACCAGATGGTTAAGATTTGACAAACTACCAACTTCATAAGAAAGGGGTCCAGAAAGGGAGTTGTATGACAAGTCCAGATAGTAAGAAAGGCCAGGTAATTTGAAGATCTCTCTGGGTATTGAGCCGTTAAGACGGTTCATTGAGAAATCCAGTTCAAAGAGGTTTTTCAGCTGCCCCAGGCTTGCCGGAATTGGCCCCTCCAAGTTGCCAAGGTATGCTTTAAGCTTATTCAACTGTGACAGGTTTCCTAGCGATGGCGGTATGAGGCCAGACAAGCTATTATTATACAATGATAGCACGTTCAAGTTCTGTAGCTTGCCGATGCTCTTTGGAATCACTCCGGACATGTAAGTGTTTGCTATCACCAGTATTTTCAGACCAACCAAGTTGCCGATATCTGCAGGTATGCTCCCAGAGATCCTATTATCCTGCAAGTATAGCCGCTGGAGAGTGGTTGTGAGGTTCACAACTGAACCCGGTAGCTGTCCCCCAAAAGAATTGTTGCTGAGTACCAATACCTGCAGCAGGCTGCAGTTTGACAAAGAAGCGACGAACTCCCACCCCTTACTATCATTAGCTTGGAGCCTATTGTCAGACACGTGCAGATATTGAAGCACTCCGAGCCTCCCTAATGCGGGAGGCACATGCCCGCTAAATCCATTTCCCCAGGCAATAAGCGACATGAGATGAGACATATTGGATAGTGATGAAGGGAGGACTCCAGTGAATTGGTTAGAAGGTAAGCTTAGAACTTTCAGCTTGGGGAGCTTGCTTCCGATATTGTTTGGGAGGCCTCCGTGAAGCGTATTGAACGCCACCACAAAGAATTCCAACGACGACCAGTTGTAGAGAGAAGGTGGAATCATACCAGAGAGGCTGTTTTGGGCGAGACTGAATTTCCGCATGCTCTGGAAGAAGCTTCCGAACCTCGACGGGATCGAGCCGGTGAGCTGGTTGCTGCCTAGATCAAGGTACCATAGATGGGACAGATTGGCCAGTGACGCAGGAACAGGGCCCGTGAACATGTTGCTGCTCAGCGAGATCACTGCCAGAGACGCCAGCTTCTGCCCGAGCTCAGGCGGGATGCGCCCGCCAAGCTTGTTGTTGTCCAGCACCACCTCGGTCATGCTGACGCAGGAGCTCAGGTTCACCGGGAACGTGCCGGAGAAGGAGTTGCCGTCCAAGTGGAGCCTCTGCAGGCGGCGGAGGCGGCCGAGGCTCGCCGGGATGCCACCGCGGAGCGAGTTGGAGCTCAGGTTGAGCGTCCGCAGGAACGTGAGGTTCCCGATGGCCGGGGAGAGCGCTCCGGCGAGCCCGGCGCCGTCCAGTCTGAGCGCAACCACCCGCGCCGGCCTCCGGCGGCTGCACGTCACGCCTTCCCAGCCGCAGAAACCGGCGCTGCTGTTCCAGGAGGCCAGCGAGCCGCCGGCGTCGCTGACCTCCGCTTTGAAAGCAAGCAACGCGGCCTCATCGCCACTCGCGGTCGCCATGGCGGCCAGGAATGAGCATACCAGCAAACCCATGCCCCCCTTCGCCATTGCCATGCTCCCCTCTTGGTTTGGTTGGCAAGTACAGTAGTAGCAGAAGCAGCCTCGTTGCTCCGTTACTATAATGCAGCATGCCCTTCTGGTCTTCGCGTGATTGACTGTCCTGAGTGCTGCGCTAACTGTATCTAGGCCCCAGAAATAATGTATGCAGGCTTTGTCCTCTTTTGACGACTTGGGAACGACTGATCCCAAAAGGAACTTGGGTCAGCAGTCAGCAGCGTCCAGGTTTTCTCTAACTGGATGCAAGAATATGGAGATTGAGTCGCACCATCCCAAAAGGCATCACCACTATGGTTATCTGATCCGAGAAAATTCTATTGCAGTAGCTAGCTACGGCGATCCATCAGTAGAACATTGAAATTCATTGCTCAGAGTTGCTCAATGTAACCGGCCCATCAGAGAATTGCCATTCTTTTAGCACAAAGCTGGCTGACAGTTAACTGTATTCAAGCATTATATGGCCGACATGAATTATGCACTTGTGGCAATGCTGATCGACGCCGGAGGAATTATGCACTTGTAACTGGCAAACAAACTACCAGTTCTCTGTTTCCTCCATTAGCACTTATTTTGCTTCATTCACAGCTTGCTTGTCCAGGTTTAATGTAAGTCTCACTCTGAATTATATTGTTCTTCCTCCACTCCAACATTGTGTTCACTTATGTGTGAACCTTTTTCTTTTCTTCTGCGAGGACAACTATGTCTGAACTTCAGTGACAGAAGATCATGCTAGAATGGCAGAAGGGTGCTTCAACCTGAATGCATGTGGATTCATTGGACCATTCATGGTCAGTCAGAAGAATGTTCCTTCTCTGAACATTGGTTCCCAGCGCAGGAAGGTTAACCTGAAACTTCAATAGGTTATTTTTAGAAAACACTCCAGCTTTTTCGTATTGTACTCTCCCATTTTGTATAAATACAGGATAATCAGAAACGGAAGATGCGTACAGTTCTTTAACATCTTCGAGCTGTATCACAGCAAAGCTGTTAGCTTATTGTTCGGATTGAATTTTGCATCATCATTGAGTATCTTATCATAAATCAAGTGTTTTTTTTTAGGGAAATGCCATATCATAAATCAAGTGTTTGAGAAGGTTGAAAGAACAAAAATAATGATTCTGGTTTATCTGTACTAGCATTTCGCATGAGAAAAGGGAACATTCTCAGTAATCCAGTTTGAGCGATGAAACGCTTTGCATAACGTGAGCCCGTAAGAAGTAGGAGAAGTTGGGCCAAGAAGGAGAAAGTGGATTCTTCTGGGTTTTTTAATGCAAAAAATAACCCAGATAGCCATATTTTCAGATAATTTTTAGCAGTTGCCCATGCTCCAGCCATATCTATCACTGTGAAAATTTTGGAAAATTTTGAAACAAAAATCCAAAGGGGTCCAATTTTATAAAGAGTCACCAGTCAAGGATTTGGTTACCAGTACCAAAAAAAAAAAAGAGGGGACATGTTGATCTAGTAACCGTCGGTAACCAGGAAATACCATTTTCTTATTGCTAAAATCTTCAGACTTCAAAATAATGTGTGGCATTTTTGTCAAAAAATAAGGAAATCTTGGCAAATTCGTCAAGTCCATTACCAAAACCATGGTAGCATTATATACCCGTGTGCAAAATGGCGAGCCTTTGGTAAGCTGCAAATACTGATGCTTCAGCACTAGAGATACCACAAGTCATGTACACTCTTTCTGAAAATTTACAACCCATTTTCAAGGATTTTTGTACAACTTTAAGGCCTTGTTCGGTTGCGGGTGAATCCGAGTGGATTGAAGGGGTTTGAGGGGGATTTAAACCTCTTCTAAGTCAAAATATGAACCAATCCCTGCCAATCCCCTCCAATCCTCTTGGGGAGAGGATTAACCGAACAAAGCCTAAGGGCGTCGGGGCGTGATGATTTCGCCGTGATTTCCTACCCATCTACTTACTTACAAGCAACCGCTGATAAATTATATAATTATATAGTTCTGCGAAAAATGATTAGCACTTTCGCCATCTTGTCTGTGGAGTGTATTTGTTGATCTAATTACTAGCAGGAGGTCCTTGCAGGACCGGAGGATGTCCTGAGGACTTCAGAACCAAGGTCACGTATCTTTTGCAGCATCAAGGCCTTCTCCCGCTCCAGCTGCTGTATGTACAAATCCTGCTCGTCCTGGACGCTCTCCACCTCCGTCAGGGCCAACGACAGTGCCTCCGCATCGCCGCCGTCGTCCACCAAGCCCGAGCATTTCTTCAGGCTGTCTCTCATCTGCAGAGTTTCAAAGGATGTTCATCACACGGGACATATAAGCAGTGATGGATGTCACAGAGGAGAATTAATGTTGGCAGGAGTGAACGGCAAGCATGGATTTATGCATTGGCTCACCTGTGCTGATATCTTGTGTCCTTTGCCGAGGGCGGACGCATCTGTCAGCAGGCTGGTTTTCTTTTCCGAGTTTGCGACCCTCCGGGTGATCTTCACATGGATTTCTCCGCTCCGCACTCCTTGCAGCGGTATCCATTTGTCGGCGGGTTGATTCGGAGAAAGCATGCTGTATTCAACGGTGCAGTTGCCTATGCTGGCGGTTGGAAGGACCGCGTTATGGTCCTTGACATGCAGGATCATGGGCTCTCCGGTTTCCGCAAACTCAAATGTCTGGTTCCAGTTTGGAGCCAGCGTCTTGTAAATGACCTGCATAGAAAGAATTATTCAGCTCAAATTGGTTCCCGCACCTAGCATCTGCAAGTAAAAGACTTTGACTTATTCTGGAGCCTCAGATATAGAAATGGTGGCAAAGACATGATTGCAAGAGTTAGCATTATACTCCCTGACGTTCTCACGTGAGCTCTTCCACTATGCTCACTGCTAAGCACAGACTGCTATGCTTACAGGATTTGGATAATCATTATTAATGACACACTATCAAATAATTATTCATGGCAGGTACTGCTACATTAGTGTGTGTGCACAGTTTATGCCTTCACCATGGTACTGAGCTTATTTTCTCTGTTTTAAAACTGCTCGGAAATTCAGTATGACTCGCGCTGTATCTACTGGGACAGATTCCATGTAAGAGAAATGTAATGGAACTCTTGACTGATGAAAAATGTCAATAGAACTAATCACCAGACCTTGGTTCGCTTCTTCTTGTTCCCATATTGCACCCTGACATAAGGATCACTAGTTCCTCTAAGATCAGCAGCAACAAGATCCCTGGCTTCAATTATTACTAGCTCGATCCAGCCAGCTTCAACTTTACTGCTTGATCTCTGTAAAAAAAGAAGCACAATTCACACCCAAGAGGCACAAATAAGTTGACAAAATGGAGACTATGAGGTTACCTGACTTTAACAGAAATCAAGGATACACACACAACTAGCAGTGGAGGGTTTCATGGGTACTACTAAGATAACTGTACAGAACATCACAATTTAATAGTTCTAGTAGGATCCTTAGCAAAATGTACTGGTGGTTGGTGCTCTTTCACAATCAAGAAATTCAATGCTTAGGAATGCACACCTTCAGACTGTCGTTGTGATCATTTGGTATTGCCTCTATTTCGAGCCTGATCTCTCCTGAATCTACTTTTTCAAGTGGTACCCACACATCTCGGCTAGCACCATCTAGAAGTCCCTCCAGATTTACTCTTGCGCTGCCAATGCTATCATCACTGAATGTATCTAAATTATAACATTTGACCTTCAGATATTCACCACCACCAATCTCATCAAATTCAAACTTGTCATTCCAAACTGGTTGGGCCGTACGGGAGAGCGTCTTTGTTCTGTATAGAGCCTAGTGAAATAATCTGATATTAGAATACAAAATTATCTAAGCTGAATATATTATTTTTGTTAGTGAAACCAAATTTGAGCAAGGTAGCAAAACCTTTCCATACTGGAGTTTCACATAAGGATCGCATTTCCCAGATTTACTGTTTACTGCAAGGGCCCTACCCTCCACTACTTTGACTCTGAGCTTCCTTCCTGTCCTTGACTGAAGCTTCGGTGATCCATCAATGGAACATTGGAATTCATTGCTCAGAGAGTTACTCAATGTAACCGACCCATCAGAGAATTGCCATTCTTTTAGCACAAGACTGACAGTTAACTGCAAACAAAAGGATTTGGAACGGTTTGCAGTGCAATCAATAAATATAAAGCAGTTCAAATATGTAACTATATACATATAGTAAGGATAACCTCCAACACATATGGCATAATTGGCAAAGCAGACAGACTAATATACTTTCTTTAGTTAGCTTATATGAAAATTAGCCAGCAGATATGAATCCATGTATTAGAAGTTACAATCTTATATCAGGTCTAAAAACAAACAGGCCATATATTATGTGAAAAGAACTGATGATGGACAGATAGTTACTAAAGAATAAACGAAAATAAATAGGCTAGTTACCTCGCCTGTGATATCCTCCTCAAATGGAACCACCATTCCAACTTCTTTCCCACAATGCTCAGCATGCCTTGCAACCACACCATCATTATGTCCTATAGCCCAGAATATTGTCGAACCATCTAAAACATACTTGACCTGTTCAAATCGATTCCTTAGTGTCCTTGTTATGCAGGAAGAACCTCAAATGTCTAAAGCGATGAAAAACATGGTGAAAGAAGAAACTTGACACCCTACCTTTATCTCGCAGCTTGTCAGGTAATTATACTTGACACCATCGGAATCCAGTTCATACAGAAGAAACTTGACAACACCTGTCTCTCCATGCAGTACCATGTTAAATGTGCTATTCCATGTAGGATTTGGACCCTCACAAGTAGTTGTTTTTCTCGTCAAAGTGCCGACTTCTACCTCAATAAATGTATGTGCCCTCCTGTTAAGAGGAATCCCAGGTGTAGTGTTTCCACTTGAGCTTTGGTTGTTCCCTAACTCATTAGTTCTGCTCTTTCTGCCAAGATTACTAGCTGAAACAACAGTAACAGAAAGAACACCACCAACTGCTTGTTTCTTCAGATCTACTGGTGGCAAAGAAAAGCAGAGAC